TATATATATATATATATATATATAATTTATTTTATTTTTAATTTTCAACCACTGTACTTTATACACATGAGTTTAATATAAAACTCCAAGTTAGGTGATTTCTATTTCTATTTTTAGATTGTGATGAATATAAACAATATTTGGCCAATTATTAAACCCTAAATTTTCACCTGCTGATGTGTAGGACTGTAATTTGAATTGATAAATTAGTTTTTTCTTAGTTGATAGGGCACCAAACGTGGCTCCAGCCCGGGGCCCTCATACTTTTAAATCCAGCCCTGTTTGGAAAGCATCACAGTTTTATTAAGCTGAAAATCTAAGATAAAAAAAAGGCAAAATATGCCAGTTTCCCAAATCTGCATCAAGTCTCTCAGGTGAACATCATCTGACATGTTGGATAAGCAAAGTCAGATCCATGACTTTGACCTAAAGATTGTCTCTAAGGGCTGCACTGATGGGCCTGCAGAGGTCCCACAACCGGAGGAGAACGACCTGCGACCTCCACCATTTCTCTGGTTTTACACTTATCGTGCTTCCTTAAGTTTTATTTAATATAGTGAAATGTATGTATTTTGTAATAAGTGGGAAACTAGGTATCATTTACATATTCAAAATAAATAATATGGGGAAAAAGATGCTGACCAGCTTTCCTCTCACCATCTGTCCATTGACCATAAAATGGAATCATGAAAAGATGGTCGCTTAAAGGAAACACGGCAATTTTGGAAAAACACACATTTTTTGATAAAAAGCTTTTGCTTGAACATATTTTGCAAAACTTCCAATGAAAACACTTTTTTCGCATCATGTGATCAACATCTGGATGTTACTAACGGAAAAGACAAAGAAGACGACAGGAAGTGGTAGGAGGATGATGGCGCGGCGTGTTTTTTTTATCGACTTGTGATAACAAACTTAACGTCTGACTTTAATTGCATTTATTATTTAATGGAAACCCTGCAATTGTGAAATTGTGTTTTTCAACATTAGAGGAGTTGCTCCTCCACCGTTAGCACATTTAGCACCACATACACATGCCAAATTGACAGCACAGAGACCCTCCTCCTCGCTCTGATTGGCTGTTTTTGTCTGGGAGTTGTGCATTTCTGAAGATATTAATTTTAGCACTGGGAGGAGGTGGAGGAGCTTAATTGTTTTCACAGATAATCTGTCGTATTATACTATCACGACATGGTGACCGTTTCAACAAATATGTAGAAAACATTTATAAAGGTTACATACTGAAGCTTTAAGAGATATAAATGTTTTTAAAACCACACATTTCAGCGTGAAAATGCAAGAGAAGATGTGCGGTTATGCAGACACTCTGGAAAATGCACTGCTTTTTTATTGCAGAATGTTTCTGCTGAAACCTGTGATTCAGGCAGTTGTGCTAGGATCCTAGGCCTTCCATGCGTTTAAGCAGCTGCCTCCAAACATGAAGAAAATGAGATGCTGGCAGGTTGAAGAGAAGGTGGAGGAGGAGAGCAGAGATTAGCTGGAGCCGTGAGGTTATGCTTCCCTGGGCCGATGACTCACCTCGCAGCACACAGAGAGAGAAAGCACTGCGACAGCATCGAGGTGTGACTCTCTCTGCAAACGCGTTTCATTACTCTTGGTCTTCTTGGTGCAGTGCATTCATGAAAAGAGGACTTTCTCCGTGAACTCCTCTTTGTTTTCCGCAAAAGCAATAAATCACAGCGTTACAGCAGGCAGCGGGTTCGTGGGGCTCTCATCCAGGTTTGTCTCCGCTGGGAGCAGCCTCTGAGTCCTACAAACCAACTTTGATGATTTATTTTTTATTTTTTGCTGCACGGGATAAAGTAGATGAGCAAGTCTGAGGACACGAAAAAGAAGGGCAGCCCCGTCTGTCCTATTTACGTTCTAAAATAAAGTACTTTAGTGTGTTATTAGCACACACGTGTGCCTTTGCGTGCCGGTGTGAAGCTACAGCGTGTGTGTGAGTGTGTGTGTGATGTACAATAAAGGATGTCAGCAGTGGGTTCTCATGTGAGAAGGGTAATGATGGGGCAGGCTGCTCAGAGCCATTACTGTAGAAATGCAGAAGGAGGGGGTGCCAATGTGAAATCAAAGTGCTGCAGTGGAGGGTGCATGGATATGCAGTGGGCTTCAGACTGCAGTACAGCCACTGACCCACTGCTGTGTCAGAGCTTCCCCACTGACACACTACCACTGGTTCCCATGCACTGCAAAAACACTAAATCCTAACAGCCATTTTTACTCTAGTTTTATCTTTGAAGTAACTTTTCAGCAACATATGAACCTATTTTAAGTCAATAATTCCTTAATGTTGATGAAAAAGTACTAGTACAATTGGCAGATTATTTTACTCTCAACAAGGCAAAGACGTGTTTTTATAAGCGAAATAATCTGGCAATAGTACCAGTACTATCTTGCTAAAAAGTTACTTGTAAATTAGTTTGGTGCGACGGAATATTTGCACCTCACTAAGAAAATTTAAAAAATTAAAATTTGAAAATAAAGTTAAATAATACGAAAATAAAGTCAAAGTATTACAGGAATAAAGTCATAATTTTACAACTTTATGTTCAAAATACTATGACTTTATTCTCATACGACTATTATTGTAATTGTATTACTTTAATCTAGAAATAGTATGACTTTAATCTCATTACTTTGACTTTACTCTAGTATAACTTTATTCTCATAGCTATTTTTGTTTTTTCTTTCTTAGTTTGGTCCTAATACTCCACCATAGCTTGGTTTTATTTGAAGTATTTTCACCAGAAACTGGTGTGTTTGTGTGTTTTTGCAGTGTATCTTCAGACATCCATGCGTAGGTGACTGAGAGCAGGAGGCAGACACAGACAGGGAACTTCTTAGCAGTTTTTCCGTCCACTAATGGCTGCCGTGTCTCTATCTCAGGAGTTCAGGAGTTTTGTCTCTGTGTTGTCCTGGTTAATAGGAAGAGACATGATGCTGTGCTGGTGGGTTTGTTGGAGTGCAGCTTTGCTCTGATGATTTTATTAGTGGGTTATACGTTAACCGCTGATGTAGCTAACAACAGGCAGTGACATTTCTGCCAGCCTGCATCAGGGTTATAATAGCTTTTGGGTTTTTCATTATAGTTTAGTTTTATTTCATAATGGCGTCTTGCTTGCCTAATTTAGTTTCCTTTAATTAGACTGTAGAGTGTGTTTGCCAGTTTTATCTGTTATTGTTAAATATTTAGGGGGGGTTTGTAGCAGTGGTTTTAGTTTTTTCATACTTTGGTTAATTTTTAATTCAAAAAAAGTCAAAGTATTGTCTTGTGATTATGTTTACATTGATTGGGTCTTGATACCATTTTCATTTATTGTTGAACAAACTGACTCTGGTGATTTCTCACTTCTTTTGCCATCATCATTTTCAGGACTAGCGCCGCCAGGATGAGAATAGAGTACCGTAATTCACCAACAGTTGACGTAAACTCCATGTGTCAAGGAAAAAAATCATAATTTCACATCAGTTCGAAAGACAACAAAAGAATAGATTCACAAACATAAAAACATGTATGTTTTAGTTAGTTTTATAAACACACGATGTAGTCCCAGTTAGGTACAGGTATTCCCAATTAATTACGTTTTTGTTCATTTCAGCTAACGAAAATGTTTTCTCAGTTTCAGTTTGTTTTTTATTTGGTTTAGTTAACTATAACAACATTTTATATTAAAATTTTTAGTCTAAAACCACCATTAGCTGTTATTATTCCACCTGAACTCCACAGTTCAGTTCTGACTCTGAAACTACCCATCTTCCCACTGGTGATTTTTGATCTGGGTGGTGGCCCAGGGCAGCATTGCAGAGAGGAGGGGCGTCCAAGAACTAGAATTTTCTTCTTCTTCATTATTATTATTATTATTATTATTATTATTATTATTGAACTTTATTTGACCAGGAAAATGCCATCAAATAAAAAAAAAAATCCTGGCAGCAACATACAGTTTGCAGAACATTCACAGCAAAACGGTAAAACTTAGCATCGTCATGAATAAATTAGTTAGCTTCGTTAGATTTCTTCCCAAGTTCAGTTTGGATTTAGGCATCGAAAGTAAAAGTAGGTTCTCACAATGAAGAGAATATCCTTTGGTGGACTTTCTGTTTATTTACGAAACAACTAAAAGAGCATTTCTGTCATGTACATATACTCAAACAACTGGACTAAAGTTCTGTGTAAATCAACAAAGTAGGCCTCAAAAAACTTCACCTTGAATCTAAATTGAAAGTCTTCTGATCTATATAAAAAAAAGTCCAACTAATATTTACTTATTTTATCAACGTTAGGATCCTGGGGGATTGCTATGTGCTTACGAAGTCTGCTACACACTTTAAACTGCATCTGATTTTCTGTTGCTGTATTATTTTTATTTCTGCAACTAGTAATATACATGCAAGATTCACTTTATAGAAATTATTTTATGCAGAAATATACCACCTTCCATCACATTTACATGTTAATACATTGTATTTTCCTTTTTTTTTTTTTCAAATCTGTGAATTTAAGCCACAACAATGCTTTTCTTCCCACTCTGCATCACCTCTTTCTTTATTATGCATACAGATAACATTAGAAACCCTCTAACCAACAAGTATGGATGAGTGAATTCTTGAGTTTATATTTGGGTTCATCTCATGCCCTGAAGGATTTTCTGCTTCCAGTCACCCGGAAATAACCATTTTGGCAAGCGCACAAAAGACTGAATTAAGTTTCACAAGATGCTGGATGCTCATTTAGATGCATTGTATTAGTAAGAATGTGATGGTTTCTTAAAGGTAACCTTTTATGCTTCTGTGAACAAGATAGGATGCAAAACATGTTCATTATATTTTGGACAAAATCATTCTTAGATAATAAGATTTCAAATTTTATTATCCAAGTTCTGCCTCTTCTGAGCTGTTTTAGGGCATCTTGTCACTTTAAATCCAGATAAGCTGCTTGTGGCCACGCCGCAAACAGACGTCCTGGAACTCAGCTTGGGTTGCTAGGTGACGGTCTGGGGTTGCTAAGAAACGGGCTGTGCTTTGCTGGGGTTGCCAGGAGACGGGGAGAGCTTGCTGATTTGTGACGTTACATTCAGAAGATTTATTTTTCCAGGCACCAAAAATCATGAACATATTGCCAAAAAACGGCAGAGTGGGTTTTTACCTTTTTTTAAGTGCTTGAGCTGTTTATAACTTTACTGCAATATTTGCTGGTCTATTTTGTATACAGTCACAAATGTCAGTTTAAAATTTCACATATGTAAACATCTAAAGAGCCTCAGTGAAAATGTGTTTATATATTCTTAACTCTTTGGTGCAAAAAACTAATTGAAAATGAATTTATTCACTGCTCATGTCTTTTTTTATAAGGTTGAGATGGAACAGCACTGAAAACGGCTCTTTATGAACCATTCAGACAAACAAAAAAAAGACACAATCAAAACTGTCAGATATGACTTTATTACCCCTTGAAAATAACATCCAAATAGTTTGGATGTATTTTTTCTTTTTTTTTTTTTCCTTATTACAGTGATTTCTGTTTTTGTCTTAGAACAGATGGAAAGAGATGGAAAGCCCATGTTTGGCTTGATTTACTTTTGCATTTTGCACATAGGTTTGTGGTGCATTTCTATCCTCAAAAAAGATATAAAACTTCAGATATCTCACAAACAAGATGCATATAAAAACCTTAAGAAAACCTCACAGTATAGCAAAAAGTACGGCGGCCACTCTTATTCAATTACGCCACATTCTGATCAGCACATTATTGCAGGAGAACCCAAAAGTTTAGCGAGGTAACACAAAGGGAGAAAAAAAAATCCTCCATGTCCCCTTGGGGGCTCCGAACAGTAAAACCCAAATGGAAGTATAGAAATGTGCAAAATATGAGTTTTGCCCTTTAAACACCTCAACTTATTAGAGAAATTGGAATTTTATCTCAGTTTAGTGACCTGGAATATGATCTCATTTGTGCTTACATATATTTGGTATGTGAACAAAATTAATTTCTGCTTTACCACTACATTCTGTCTGCATATGGAAATGTGTGACTGTTTGTTTCTAGAGCTGTCCCTCTAGATCAGTGTTTTTTTTCCCGGTGTGCTCAGCTTCCATCTATCTGGCCCGGCTGCTTAAATCTGTCAGGTGAGAGTGAGGGAAGCACTTCTCAAACTCGGGTGACAAAGCGGCTCACTCCTCTAAGACCTCAAAGTCTAGACTAATCGACTTACTGTGGAGCTCTGAGAGGCACCAGTGTGTCAGTCTATTGACTGGAAAGCAACCGGCTCCGGCCTCTGTTTGCTGCTAATGACAGGTGCTGTGGGCCCGGTCCACTGAAGAGCAGCAGCTGTGTACCGAATCTCCTGCTCAACAAACTCTGAGTCACTGCGATACAGACTGACGCTCGCCGCCTGTCTCCATAACATCGAGTCCAGGTGTTGCAGCAAGTACATAAACAAATCTGGAGAAGGAACTCGTGAAATTTTGTAGAAGAATTTCAGTACATGAAACTAAATTAATTATTTAACTTTATAAAAAATGTTTTTGACATATTTGTTAAACCTATCACCATGTTGCGACAGTATTATACGGCACAGATCATTTTGAATAAATTTGTCTTCTTCCATGCACTGCTCTTGCCGTCTGAAGAAAAACAACCAATCAGAGCCTGGAGGAGCGTCTTAGCGCTGTCAATCATCCTTGTGAATGTGCTGCTAAATGTGCTAATGGTGGAGAAACAACTCACCGCTCCAGGAAAACCGTTTATCCACCATCATCAGTGCTAACTAGCCTTAGCATTCCCGATGGGGAGAAACTGTATGGTAGCGGAGAGCATGAGCATGATTGACAGCGCTAGGACCCACCTCCTGGCTCTGATTGGTTGTTTCTAATACTGGTAGAAGGAAGAAAATATTTTCTTTTTTTTCCAAAGATGATC